GAAATTTTATTGGGCCTCAGATAGTGAGTCATGGTTTTTCGCATTGCAGCCTTCATATCCCTATTTCTTAGTGTATAAATAATGGGGTTTAAAATGGGGGTGAAAATGGTGTAAAATACGGCAAGAACTTTATCCACAGGATAAGTGGTGAAGGGCCACACATAGATGAAGATGCAAGGTCCAAAAAACAACATTACCACTGTGATGTGGGCGGCCAGTGTGGAAAATGCCTTAGCCATTGCCGCTGAAGACTTAAACCAGACCGTGACAAGAATAATAATATAAGAAGTGACCAAGAGAGAGAAAGTGCTTAGAGAAAGAATTCCACTGTTGACCACAATTAGAATTTCAATTTTGTAAGAATCCAGGCAGGCAAGTTTTGTCACTCGAGGAAGGTCACAAAAAAAGCTGTCTACCACATTGGGTCCACAAAATGGCAGATTCACAGTAAATGATAACTGGCTTAATGTGTGCACCAGGCCCACGGCCCATGAGATTATTACCATGACAGTGCATGTCTTTTGGCTCATGATGACCAGGTAATGTAGGGGTTTGCAGATGGCTACATATCTGTCATAAGCCATGGAGACAAGTAGCACCATCTCCCCTCCAGTAAAAAGGTGAATGAAGAAAATCTGGGCTATGCAGCCACTGAAGGATATAGTCTTGTGCTCACTCAGAAAATCCGCAATCATCTTAGGGGTAGCAAAAGAAGCCTGACAGATGTCAACAAAGGAAAGATTTCCGAGGAGGAAGTACATAGGGTTGTGCAGGCTGGGATCAGAAGTCACTGTGATGATAACAAGAAGGTTTCCCAGCACAATGATCACATACAACACAGAAAAGAAAACAAAAAAGAAAAGCTGGAGTTTCTGAGAACTAGAAAGTCCCAGTAATACAAACTCAGATACCACTGAGGAATTGACTTTATCCATGGATCCAGAGTGCATACTTGCTCTGAAAGAGCCCTAAAGGAGGAAAAATAGGAACACATCAAAATTAGGACTTAAAAGCACTTCTTTTTACAGAGTTTCACTATGTCACGATCCTCCTGCCACAGCCTCCAGATGGCTGGGACAACAGGTACACACCACTGTGCTTGGCTTTTAAAAACACTTTCAACATTACAAATTCTAAGATCTCATATAACGTATATTTGCTGAATATAAAAGTCTTGAAGAGACCATGAATATTAGGAAGGAGCTTATGCACACATCTAATTAATGCTTTATAATTTACTTTGTATTGTTAAGATCTATTGAGTTTTTGGACGGTCTGTATCTGTTACAAAGCAGTAAATGAGCTCAAGGGTGATCTGACCTAATAATAAGTCTACAGGAGTGACTTAAAACCCAGGGCCACAAATTTGTTTGTCTCTTTAAATGGAAACATAAACTTTTCTTCCTTCTCGAGCCCTCTGGAATAGGAAAATATTTGGGAGTATTTGTATTTTGTAGCAGAAGGGTTATTTGCATAAGTTCAATAATACCTGTAACATTGGATCAGAAGTTAGAAATACTCATTATTGGATAGGGCTTGTCGTATATGATGATTAACCAGAAAACTATGGAAATAGGTAATCTCAAGTAAGCCAACAGAATCTCTTGGAAAGATGACCTGGCAGAAAGGATTAGAGAAGCTATATGAAAGAATTCATACCATAAAATAACCTGGACTTTTCCAGCCCAGCATTGTAAGAGAGATTGCAAAAGAGCAACCATAACCAGAGAATTATTTTGATGAAGACTTTGAAGGAAGGAAAGGAGACCGATCTATGCTAGCAGATGGTATATCACAGAATACTTGGTAGGCAGGGCTGAATTGAGAAGGTTTATGTGTGACTTGTGTGCTGGGCATTTGCTTTTCAACAGTTTGAGTACTTGACATGTAAACATTTTCTCAAACATATTTAAAACCATACTGTCTCTGTTGTTATAGAGTCACAAATGAAATTATAACAAGTATTTTGAATATTACCTTTAAAATTCAGTTATTTGAAATTTAGAAAGCTGTTTATTAACTGTTAAGAACTATGGAGTATGAGCAAAAATTTTGTTATGTAAAGCAAATGTTCGTGAGAAAATGTAAAAATAAATAAATGATTAAAACAAGAATAAAAAAAATTCTGAAAAAAATGAAAAGCTATTTGCTGATGACGTAGCTAGTAATGTCTTGTCTTGACTGATATGCATGGTAATCATGCTGGAAAAAGAAATGTTATCGACTGTAAATATATATGTGATTAAGTGTAATATAAAAAAAATAAAAAATTAATAAGAAAAGAAATATATAAGAATACCTCCTTTACAGAAGGATGTAAAGTTTAAGCCTGATAACTCATGACATTCTACTATCAAATTGAATTGTGCTACAATACAAATGTCCTTAATATGTCAAATTTTCACTCTTTCACTTAATTTTTTCATCTACTGATAAACTGCCTGGTCTGACTCATCAGAAAAATAAGAAAACACAAAACAAAACACAAGACAATAAAGAGCATTAATGTGACAAAGAAATGTGGTATTATCTGTTGAAGATAATTTATAGTTTTATCAACTGTACTAGGGAGAAATGTTCACCTGTTGAAGTATCCATTTTATAAGCTAAATAATGTGATTGAATGTATAAAAGAAAATGAAATTTAAAAAATAAATAAATAAAAAGAAAAAAAATAAAAATGAATGAATAAATAAATAAACCCTAAACTCTTCTACCATCTTCAGTTTTTATTTTTTAATTTCTCTTTTGTTTGTTTTTTTTTAAGAAATTTCTTAAAGGCATGTCTATAGTTTTGTTTTTTTTTCTCCAATTCTTTTCTACTTCTCAGTCTTTTAATACAATATCTGACTTTTGCTGCCAGTCTGAGGGAAATACGCTGTCAAATGTCCTCAAAGAGGTAATAGTGATAATTAATTTTTTTAACACTCTTAAGTAAAACAACTCTTGGTTTTGTCCTTGGAATTTTTAGTATCTTTTTTTTAAAATCCATTCTACTGCCCCTTACAAGTAAATTTCCACTGAGGTTCTGATCTTTGGATTTCCAAATTTCTTCTTTCAAGCTCTGTACTTTTTATAGTCTTCTTTGTCTCTTACTTTAAATCCTTATCAGTCTTGTCTCTTCTCTCTCCTCCTTGTTATCTCCTACTTTGACATTACATTCACCTCAATGGCATCAAACATTGCCTCTGTGTGATGATCATTAATTTTGTGGTACCTGCCCTCCAGCAAGAGTTTGACCTTAGGATGCCTTAGATACCAAATCAAATGTTCAGTTCTCTAACATGACATGACGTAGTAGCTGCATATAACCTATTGGGTCAGCGGGAAAGTCATAGCATATTTTTACATAGAAAAACACAGAAAAATACCTCATGACTTTGCCGATGACCTAATATATACTTTAAATAATCTCTACATTAATTATAATAGCTATACTATACAAATGGAATAGAAATAGGTTTTGTGCTATATTGTGTAGGAAGTGATGGCAAGAATTATAGCGTTCATACAGTATAATACAGACAATATTTTTTAAATATTTCCAATTTCTAGTTGATTGAATACACGAATCCAAAACCTGTGGGTATGGAGGGCTGACTGTATTCCAGACGTGTTTCTGAGAGATGTATGAGTATGCATATTACTTAGTTATCTCAGACCTTAGTTCACAACTTTTTTTTCTTCAATCCAGTACTTTTTTTTTCCTTTTAAATTGTTTAATAATGTAAGCAAACACCTTACTTTATCCTAGATCTTATTCTCTCAGTGGAAACATTTTATCATTCCTAAAAGCCAAAAAAATACTACAGTTTGAACACTTAGCATGACAACCCAGCATATATGATCTTGTTTTATCTATATACCGTACAATCTTCAGCCAAAACCAGACTATTCATCATTTATTAGTTGGTAAAGACTTCCTATTCATTTTCTCATATGTTTTACAGATGATTTATTCCAAAACAAATGCCGGCTACTCCGTTAGCTTTCCCAGAGGCTGAAGCTGATATTTCTCGTTTTATTAATGTTGTTGCAAAGCTTCACTTGCCTGTGTGTTGTATACTTGTCCGAGGTAAGAGTTCTTCTGTATATGTTATTTCTCTACTGCATTTAGAGTTTCTCAAATTTTTGTGCTTCTTCTGTATAACTCACAGACTTCGGCAAGGGACAAATTCTACATAACTGTGTTTTAGTGATAATTGGAAATATTTCACCTCACGTCACTCATTCACTCATTATGTCTACCTTATCTTCCTGTGCACAGACTTAATAAATGGCCTTAAATTCTGCAAATGATCCATTTTATATGGAACAAAAATAGTGAGTCTCATTGGTAATATATAAGTCGTTGAAACTAATGCTGATAATTAACAAATGCAAAGAAATAAAATAATAAGTTTGAATTATAACATAGGACAAATAGTTTATCCTATTGGAAGTAAATTAAATATTTTAGTTACCAGGTTTTTAAAAATGTGATAGAAATAGTGAAATACTTTTAAAAGAAAAAATTTACAATCTACTTCTGTCGAATTAAATAAATTGTCTTAACTGCTTAAATGCAAAATGCCAATTATACTATAACTATAAATGTATAATCCAGATTTGTTTTTAACATTATCATGGATATATATGTGTGTGTGTGTGTGTGTGTGTGTGTGTGTGTGTGTATACATACATACATATATATATACTCTACAAAAAATACAGAGTTCTGATTTGCATATTTCTTTAATTTATTTACATGATAGATGAAAAGTGTCATTCTGGATTCTACTACATACAGTCAAAGCTTTTCGTAATCTCAAGAACACTTTTTCTTCTAATATAATTTCTCACAAATTCTCTCAAACATGCTAAGACATGAACATCCTTATCTTGACTCACTTTTCTTACTTTCAATATATTTTTCTTTCATTTTTGGATCCTAAGACACAATGTAATGATGAAATAGAATACATATTTATATCAAATCTATTTTATATATTATAAATATATATGTATATTATATATGTGTATTTATATACTTACATACATATGTGTGTGTGTGTGTGTGTGTGTGTGTGTATCAGGTATACCCTACCTGTTTCGATGCATATCAGAGATGTAAACTGAGTTCTTCAGCTTTCTATTGTGGGATTAATCTTTTTTGAGTAGGAATATTTATGTACACTTTTTTCTTTCATCAAATTGGAAGAATAACATGGATGTATCTAAGTGACCAGTTGAAGCTTTTGAGATTTAGTAATAAAAAGTTTTATCTTCCAATGGGCATTATTAGTCACTTCTACTAGATATTCCCATTGGAGCAAAGTAAATAACTGCCCACAGGATTGACAACTACAATGAGGATGTAAGACCATGCGCAAAAATGAGAAGGCCACTCAGCCTTTGGGCAGTATGTAAAGCAGAGTGTCTTCTCTGAATTCTGTCCAACTAAACTTTCTACTGCAGTAAATATGTATAGAAAAGCACATTCTTTTACCTAAATAAAAAATGCTTTGACTTGGGAATGAAAGAACTTCAGTAGGTGGAGATATGGAGCAACGGTTAATTAGAACTAGAGTACATAGGTTCTTGTTCTCAGTTCTACTAACAACTAAGTTGTTGAACAAATCACTTTAACTTTCTAAACCTTATCTTTCCTTTGTATAAAATTATTTTTAATATTTTAATCTCATTTAAAAATAAAAGGAACTATTAAATGTCTTTACATGAAATATTCCATTTGCCAAATCTTAATATTTTGCCATATTTCCTTTATTTTAATAGGAATTAAGCATTGTTAATGGAAGTGTATTATATAATACTCAAAACCAACTATTCAGAGTTAATTCATAACCTAAGTTTAGTGTTTAATATTACTGTAGTTTTAGATTTTAAAAAATAGTTTTACTCGGGAACCAGCAGTTAGCGTAATGGCTATGTCGCTGGACTCCCACGTAGTCGACCGCGGTTCGTGTCCCGGACCCGGTGGCTTAAAACTCACGCCGGGCACGTGTGCATACGTGCCCAAGATCCCGAGAGGAGAATGGAGGAGAAGGGATTGAGGCGTGACCATCCCCCCTGGGGGGTGATTTCTCGCTTTCTGTCTCTATGTCTCTCTCTGTCTGTCTGGCGAGCGCACGCGCCCTATAGCGAAAAAAAAAAAAAAAGTTTTACTGGCAAGAAAGGAATCCCTTTCACCGTAGCCACAAGATGTATAAGATATCTAGGGATAAACCTAACTAAGAAAGTCAAAGACCTTTATAAAGAAAACTACGAGAATCTTAAAAAAGACATTGAAAGTGACATAAAAAAGTGGAAGGACATCCCATGCTCCTGGATTGGTAGAATTAACATAATCAAAATGGCAATTCTACCCAAATTAATCTACATGTTTAATGCAATTCCAATCAAAATACCAGAGATATTCTTCAGAGATCTAGAAAAGACAATTATAGAATTTGTCTGGAACCATAAAAGACCTCGTATTGCAAAAGCAATCCTGCGTAAGAAGAATGGAGTAGGAGGCATATCACTCCCTGATCCCAAGATATACTATAAAGCTGTGGTCATCAAAACAGCATGGTATTGGCATAAAAACAGACATGTGGACCAATGGAAGAGAATAGAGACCCCAGAAATAACTCCCAAAGCTTATAGCCAACTGATCTTTGACAAAGGATATCAGTCAATCCATTGGGAAAAGGAAAACCTCTTTAGTAAATGGTGCTGGAAAAACTGGGTATCCACCTGCAGAAAGATGAAACTGAACCCCCATCTTTCACCATTAACAACAGTCAACTCAAAATGGATCAAAGATCTGAACCTAAGACCTCAGACAATAAAACTACTTGTGGAAAATGCTGGGGAAACTCTGGGAGACATTGGAGTAGGCAAAGACTTCTTAAATAAGACTCCCAAAGCACAGGCAATAATCCCTAAAATAGACAAGTGGGACTATATTAGACTAAGAAGTTTCTGCACAGCAAAGGACACAGTAACAAGTGTGAACCGACAACCCTCAGAATGGGAAAATATTTTTGTTAAATATGCCTCAGACAAGGGACTGATAACGAGAATACATAGGGAACTCAAGTGCCTTATGCGAAAAAAAATGATTAACCCGATTAAAAGATGGGAAAGTGAGCTGAACAAAAGTCTCTCTAAGGAAGACATACGAACAGCCAAAAAGCATATGAGGAAATGCTCGACATCCCTCATCATAAGGGAAATGCAGATAAAAACCACAATGAGATACCACCTAACCCCTGTCAGAATGGCAAAGATTAAGAATATAAAAAGTGATAAGTGTTGGCGGGGATGTGGTGAAAAGGGAACCCTCCTACACTGTTGGTGGGAATGTAAACTAGTTCAACCACTGTGGAGAACAATATGGAGGTTCCTCAAAGATCTACAAATAGAACTACCATTTGATCCAGCAATCCCACTTCTGGGTATTTACCCAAAAGACAGGAGAACGCTCAGTCAGAAAAGTGCTTGCACATCCATGTTTATTGCAGCATTATTCACAATTGCCAAGACATGGAACCAACCTAAATGTCCACAAACTGATGAATGGATTGGAAAAGTGTGGTATATATACTCTATGGAATACTACTCAGCCATAAAAAATAACAAGACCCTGGAATTTGATAGAAAATGGTCAGATACGGAGGATCTATTGCTGAGTGAAGTAAGCCAGGCTATGAAAGAAAGATATTGTATGTATCCACTCAATATATACCGACTATCCGCACTCTATAATAGAGAGCAAAAATTCGGAGGACATAAACACAGTGAAGGTACTTAATGAGAATAGGACAGTGTGGAATGGGGTAAGTGAAGAGAAGAGGATAGAGAAAGATAGCAAGTGAACAATAGAGAGACAGGACGTTAGTGAGAAACAGATAGGGCTTATTAACTGTTGATGATGACATGTATAGAATTCTCAACTGGATTGGTCTGAGAAGTGTTTCATGATGGGCAAAGTATTTTTACAAGCAAAACGAGAAATAGCAATTGACTGTTTTATAAAAATAATTAGAATAATAAAGATAATGATTGGGGAAAACAGAAAAGATATGGAATGTTGAAGTGGGGAGATTAATGTCTCTGTACTGACTGACGTGCATGGCATTCCCTTTTGAAGAAACAATGTAATACACAGTAAAGTTATATGTAATCCAATGTAATATGAAGAAGATATGATGATAAAAAAATAAATAAATAAATAAATTTAAAAAAAAAGAAAAAAAAATAGTTTTACTATACAGAGATACCACTACAGATAAATACATAGCATATATTTTTATACTTTTAAAATTGTATGCAAGTGGTATCATCCTCTATACATTTGTTTACAACTTGCTGCTTTTCCACTTGTAATTTGTTTTGAACTGTTACCAGTAGTGATACACATAGTTTAATTTTATTTATTTTGATGTTGTATGTTTTCCCATTGTATGAATACATTGCTTATTTGTCCATTTCTTTGGAGAATAGACATCTGGGTTGTTTCCAATTCTTTCTATGATAAACAAAATTAAAATGAACTTTACATCAATAAATATATCCTAGAGGTTCTCCACAAGGTAATCTTAAGAGAGTAGTTGCTAAGTCATAAGGAATACAAATCTTCAACATGATTCAATATTTTCAAATTATTCTACAAAACTGTCCAATGAATTGGTGCTTAGTTCCAGTTTCCAGTTTATCTCCTCTCACTTTTGAATGCATCCCCCGTACATGCTCTGTGATAAATGATAGAATTCCTTTAAGCATTACTCATTTAAAGTGGATACACCATTAAGTTTCTTAGAGAAGGGCCCTAGAGGCACGCTACAGGAGCAAGAGATTCTTACTGGTTCAGGCAGTGACCAGGGTCAGCGGTGTGGGCATGAAGATATCCAATGGAGCCTGCCACAACCATGCGCCCAAAATGTGGTCCTTTGCCCTCTTACAGTCACAGTCTGATAATAACTTTCTTCAGCCTTCTGGACCCATAAACCAGAGGCCCCACATTCTGAAGGATTCCTGTTTACGTCAGCACCCAGACTCCCTTTGCATGTTCGGTCTACCAGTTGTTAATCCTCTGCTCCCTGGCTTACACAAAGAATTCCTTGCCCAGCAGTAGGAGTCTAGCTGTGACCTTAATATAAAAGTGAGGTTTTTTTTCTTTTAAAGTTTTTGCCATAGAGTGTGTGTACTTGCCTAAGAAAGAGAGTGAAAGGGAAAGTGAGAGATCACCTTCTAGTGAAGATAGCCATGGCACAATCCCTTCCTCTCCAGCCTCCTGAGATTTGGGGCATGCACACGCATGTTCCTGGGATGATTTTCAAACCGCCAGGTCTAGGACTTGAACCACGGTGGGCCATGTGGGAGTCTAGCACTTTAACCACTATACCACCTGCTGGCACCCCTTTGACCATTTTTTAAGGATTTTTGTACAGGTTATAAATTATCTTCAATTTTCTTCTCTTGAGAATGTCTTTGTTTTCTCTTCATTTATTAAGGATATATTTACTGGATAGAGGACTCTAGAGTGACAGTTAATTTTTTTTAACAATTGAAATATCTTTTGCCACTCACCACAATGTCATTCCCTGTGTCCTTGTATAATCTACTTTCTTATCTCCAATTCTATGAGTTTGATATATTTACTTTAATTATTATATCCAGTGATTAGAATTATACTTATTAGAGACAATATGGAAAATTATGTCTACTTCATCTTCCTAAGAACCAAAGACACCTGTTCATTTTTTTGAGAGACATTTAGCTATAAGGCATATGAGAGATATATAGAGAGGTAGAAAATAAAAACTCAACTCCCAGGGGTATGGCCATGCCTCAGTCCCTTCTCCTCTGTTCTCCTCTTGGGATTTTGGGCATGCACATACACATGCCTGATGTGATTTTCAAGCTACCGGGTCCAAGACTCTAACCACAATTGGCCATGTGGGAGTCCAGCAATGTAACTATTATGCCATCTGGCCCCAAACATGCTTTTACAAAGAAAGAAAATTGCAGAGCTCATTTCAAAATGTATGGGTGGTGTTGATGGTATATGTATGTACACGTATTTGGATATATAAAATTAAAATTTATATTTCTAAAATACATATAATACCTATTTAGTCTATTTTAAAAATAAGGTTATATATCTGTATAATTTTGATTAAAGTAAACTATTAGGACCCGCAGATGGTGTAGTAGTTACATCATTGGACTCCCACATAGCCAACTGCAGTTCTGGACCTGGTGGCTTGAAAGTCACACCAGGCATGTGTGCGTGCATACCTAGATTATGGAAGGAAAATGGAGGAGAAAGAATTGCAGTGTGACCATCCCCTTCTAGAGGATGATTTCTTACTTTTCCTCTCATTGTGTCTGTCTCTGTCCCCTTCTCTCTGATGAGTACACATGCCCTAAGGCAAAAACCTCTTTTAAAAAATCAACTATTAATATTTCTGTATGACTGTAGTATTCCAAATTAAAGTTTTAGAAAGAATCTAAGCAGAATTATGTAGGAACTTTAACCCTTGTGTCAGTAAGAACATGTAGTTCTATGGAAAGCTGGAATTCAGTGAAAAGTCACATGTCGGTTCCACAGTTTCTTCATCGCTGTTTTCATCTCCTCATTTCTCAATGTGTAGATAAGGGGGTTCAAGAGTGGAGTAAAAATAGTGTAAAACACAGACAGGATCTTGTCCACAGAAAACCTACTGAAAGGCCACACATAAATGAAAATGCAGGGCCCAAAGAACAGAGTGACTACCGTGAAATGTGCAGAGCAGGTAGATAATGCTTTGGATACACCACCAGCAGCATGCTGTCGGACAGTGAGGATGATGGCAGTATAGGAAACCACAAGAAGCAGAAAACAGCTCATGGAAAGCAACCCACTGTCTGAGATCATAAGTATACCCAAGACGTAGGTGTCCATGCAGGCAAGTTTGATCACCAGAGGGAGGTCACAGAAGAAGCTGTCCACCTCATTGGGGCCACAGTAAGGTAAGCTTACAGTAAAAGCCACCTGACTGATTGAGTGAACAAATCCAATTACCCATGAAACAAGCACTAGCCTGATGCAAGTCTTCTGGCTCAACATGATCATATAATGCAGGGGTTTGCATATGGCCACATATCTGTCATAGGCCATGGAAACCAGCAGTACCATCTCAGCTCCACCAGTAAAGTGCAAGAAGAAAATCTGAGCCATACATCCTCCAAAGGAGATTAGCTTTTGATCACTAAGGAAATCCCTAATCATTTTGGGGGTAGCAAATGAGGCTAGCCACATGTCCAGGAAAGATAGATTTCCCAGGAGGAAGTACATAGGAGAAGAGTGCAAGCAGGGGTCGGAAATCACAGTGATCACAATAAGGAGATTACCCAACATAATGGCCACATAAGTAACAGAGAAAAATATAAAGAAAATATTTTGGAGATGTCGTGAACTAGAGAGTCCATACAACACAAATTCTGACACCAAGGAAAAATTCTGCTGGTCCATTATCTCAGGTTTTAGGATTTGTTCCAAATCTATATAAAGAAAGAAGACATTGTCATTTGCAACAACATGAACTAACTGGGAAGACATTACGTTAAGTGAAATAAGCCAGGCACAGAGACACAAATACTGCATAAACTCATGTATATGTGGAATCTAGAAAGTAGACAACATGGGACCAGCAGATGGTATACTGGTTATGTTGCTGGACTCCCTTGTAGTATACCACGGTTTGAGTCCCAGACTCGGTGGATTAAGCCTCACGCTGAAAGTGTGTGTGTGAGTGCCCAAGTTCCCAAGAGGAGAATAGAAGAGAAGGGACTGTGGTGCGACCATTCCCCGGGGGAGGGGGGGTGTTCTTGCTTTCTGTCTGTCTGTCTCTCCAGAGAGCACATGAGCCCTTATAGCAATCTCTCTTAAAAGAAAAAAAGAAAGAAGGAAAAGAAAAAGTAGACAACATAAATATAGAGAGCAAAATTACTGTTATCAAAGATGGAAGATTTTGAGGAATAAGTTCAAAAGAACCACTGTACATCATGGCTATAGTTAATAACAATATATTATGTACTTGAAAATTATTGAGGGCATAGATTTTAAGTGTTCCTATCACACACACACACAATGAGATTAAGTAGGTGAGATAATGCATGTATTAAATAGCTTTGTTTAGCCATCTGGCAGTGTATACACATTTTTCAAAAAAATCATATTGTACAACATATACACAATTTTTATTTGCCAATTAAAACATAAAAATAAAAGACATGTAAGTGAAAGTATTTATACATAATTAAATACTATCTGAATGTAACATAATTTGTAAGAGCTAATATAAAATATAATATAGGGAAAATTACAAACAAGTTCATAATGATATGTATTTGTGCTTTTCATGTATAAGCATTTCCTTAGAGGAAATTAGATAATCTGGAATATTTCAGCACAGGTGAGAATTGTAGGAACATTTTTTTTGTCACTTTTGTGATGTTCGCCTATAAGGAATATAGAACCAATAGAGTTCAAAGAGTAAAACAAAAATCCTTAGAATATCTGAGAATATGAAGATTTTCTGAGTGGCATCATGTTCTCCCCACTTGTATCAATACCACTGTCCGATGCATCAGACCTAAGAATTGAAACTAAAGCTAGAAAATCCTGATGAGGGTGTGGAGAAAAGGGAATCCTAATACACTTGATGGGACTATAGGTTAGTATAGGCCTTATGGAAAAAGATATGGAAATTTCTAAAGAAATATAAAGAAAATATCACAAATATACATAATGAAATAATATTTAACCTTAAAAAGGAGGATATTCTGCTATCTGCTATAAATAAATGGACTGAGAGAACATTCTACTAAATAAAATAAGCCTGTCACAGAAATAATGCATAATCTTACTTATATATAGCATCTGAGAAATAAAAAGATCTAATAAGCAGAAATAGATAATAAAACTGGTGACCATGCATGGGGAATGGGTAGGAAATGGGGAGATAAAGGTGAAAGAATACAAAGTAACAGGTATGCAAGATGAGGGCCAATGAACAACAATTACATAGCTAATTTTAATTTTGCTAAATAAGTTTTATCTGCACTTGTCACAAAAAAGTAACTCAGATAACAGATACGTCATCTGCTTTGCTATAGTAACCATTTTACTATAGGCATGCATTCCTTAGCATCATGTTGCAAACCTTAAGTACACATAAAATTCATTTATAAAAATCTTGTCACCATGGTATCACTTCTGGAAAAAGAAATGTAATACACTGTAAAGTTATATGTGATTCAATGTAATATAAACAAGATTATGATGATAATAAATAAATCTAAAAAAAAACCTTTCACCATGCAAAACACAGTAAATTATATATACATTTTCAGATTTCTCTTTCTCTTCTATTTCTATATACCCTCACAAACAAAACAAAACAAAATCTAGCAAGGGCTTTTTAGTGGGTGGCTCTGTCTATGCCACTCAACATGTCTCTCCAAAAGTCAAAAGAATTATATCTTATTTCGGGAACCAGCAGTTAGCGTAACAGCTATGTCGCTGGACTCCCACATAGTCGACCGCGGTTCGCGTCCCGTCCTGGACCCGGTGGCTTAAAACTCACGCTGGGCACGTGTGCGTGCGTGCCCAAGATCCCAAGAAGAGAATGGAGGAGAAGGGATTGCGGCGTGGCCATCCTCCCTTGGGGGGTGATTTCTAGCTTTCTATCTCTGTGTCTCTCTCTGTCTGTCTGGCGGGTGCACACACCCTATAGCAAAAACCTCTCCAAAAAAAAAAAAAAAAAATTATTTTTTTTTTCTTGTTAACCTCCCCAAAAAAAAAAAAAAAAGAATTATATCTTATTTCTTGATAACAAAGTTTTTAAAAAATTTTTTGAATATATTTTAATAATTAAAAAATAAGTTCTTATTTACATTTAATTGTTGTGCATCCAAAGCATGCATACATACCATATTCATTGTTTTCTTTCTTTCTTTTCTTTTTTTGGAGAGGTTTTTGCTATAGGGCGCGTGCGCTCCCTGGAAAGACAGAGACAGAGATTGAAAGTGAGAAATCCCTACCCAGGGAGCATGGTCACGCTGGAATCTCTTCTCCATTCTCCTTTCAGGATCTTTTGCACGCACGTACACGCGCCCGGCATAAGTTTAAGCCTCTGGGTCTGGTTTGCAACATGATTCTAGGGAATGCACATGTATAGTAAAATGGTTACTATATTGAAGCAGATCGACATATCTGTTATCTAAGTTACTTTTTTATGACAAGAGAAGATAAAACCTACTTATTTAGCCAAATTAAAATTAGCTATATAGTTCTCATATTGTTCATTAAGTTGAACCGCGGTCAACTACATGGGAGTTTAGTGACTTAGCCATTACACTAACTGTTGGTCCCACCATATTCATTGCTTTCAATGATGAATTTTTTTTTGTTCTACTTCAATTTTTGCTCTCCTAGTTTCATATATGTATGTATGTTACAGTGTGTGTATTCACCTATTTATGTGTGTGTGTGTGTGTGTGTGTGTGTGTGTGTATATATATATATATATATATAGCAAAGTTTAAAGGATAAAAATTAATTTAAGTATATTTTGGATGTAAAGTCCTCTTAGGGGTGATGAACAAATACTGGATTACTTCCAGATCATGAAACTAAATTAGATATATTATTTAATAATTTTATGGGAATGTTTTTATTGTGTTTATTGTGTTATATGTGAGTTTAGAACGTCGTTCTTATACTTTCAGATAATGTCTTTAAGGAAAATTTGATCTAAGTGGTAACAGTTACTAAATGTTATATGAATGTAACTTTTAATTTATAGTAGATAAGATAAAATACAATATATGTAAAATTATAAACAAGTTTATAACAACATGTATATTTGCCTTTTTCATGTATAAGTTTTTCCTTAGGGTAAGTTTTGATCTAAAGTGTGAACCCACACCCTCAGAGGAGATAGCGTGTAACTGCAAACCATGGGACACTTTCCTCTACCTTTCCCTTCATCAATGAGCTGAATAAGGCATAGTTAACAAATTTATAAATAACAAACCTAATCAGCAAATTGCAGAGAGATAGAAGAGTGTGGATTGATACCAGGCTGATGGAGATATAGAGTAGTATATTATTAATCTATAGATGCTCCTCGATTTATGATGGGGCTACCTCTTTACAAACCAATCATTAAGTTGAAAATATCCTAAACTGAGAATGCATTTAATACAGCTAACCAATTGATTATCACAGTTTCCCTAGCCTAATGTGCTCAGAAAACTTACATTAACCTCGGTTGGGCAAATTCTTCTAACACAAAGTCTATTCTACAAAAAAGTGTCAAATAGCTGATGTAATTTATTAAATACTGTACTGAAAGTGAAAAATAGAATTGTTTGCTGCCACTGCTCGCCATCCCAAGAGGGTATCATACAGCATATTGCTACCCTAGTAAAAGATCAAAATTGAGAGTATGGTTTCTATTCAATGCATATTGCTTTTGTACCATTATAAAGTCAAAAAGTCTAAGTTGGACCATTATAAGTAGAAACCCTATGTTTCTTTTTAACTTTTATGTCTTTATATATTATAATTATAATAAAAATACTGCTTATTTTACCTTTGTAATTTAAAAGTAAGAAATTTTTTTTTCTCAGAAAAATAAAAAAATATATAGTATAGGGCAGCACGTAGCGTGGTGGTTGGAGTGAGTGAGTGCTGGACTCCCATATGGCCAACCGTGGTTTGAGTCCCAGACCTAGCGGCTTGCTTTCTTGCTCTCCCTTTTGCTATCTCTTTGTCTCTCTCTGGCCAAGTAAAAATATAATAACAACAAATGAAATTAAATAAATATTTCTTTATATATATACATATATATATATAGTATAATTTATTGTAATGCTTTTGAATACACAAAACAGCTAAAAGATCTGGTTCAGAAAAATAAATAAATAAATAAATAAATAAATAAACAAACAAATAAATAAATAAATAAATAAATAAACGGGACCAGCAGTTGGTGTAATGGCTATGTCACTGGACTTCCGCGTAGTCAACTGCAATTCAAGTCCTGGACCTGGTGGCTTATACTCACGCTGGGCATGTATGCGTGCGTACCCAAGATCCCTAGAGGAGAATGGAGGAGAAGAGATTGTGGTGTGGCCATCCCCTCTAAGGGGTGATTTCTCGCTTTCTGTCTGTCTCTCTTTTTCTGGCAAGCGCACGCACCCTGTAGAAAAAAACCTCTCCAAAAAAAGAAAGAAAACGAAAAAAAAAGAAGTTCCGCTGAAGATTTGACTTTCTAAAGAGAAGTAAAGTTCAGTTTTTTCCAGTATGAAGCATGCTTAGAATTTTTGTCTTTCTTTTAAACCGTGTCAGTAAGCTATAATTTACGTACCATAAAATTCACTCATTTGAAATGTAAAGTCAAGGTAATTTTACCAATTTCTGCAAACAACTTATCTTCAAAATGCTTGCTTTGTGATCTTGACAAATTTCTTCCAAGACTTCTG